ATCTTCTCCTGGGACAGGATCTTTCGGACCCTTCTACACATTTCATATCCATATCTGGGCTAAATGGTATTTTTTCATTCGGCGTCTAACATTCGAGCTACCTCCGACACATGAATATCACATCACAGGTGAATAAGTGGACCGTTAACTGCTTCAAATTGTGGTATTTTTGAACTTGATCAGAGACAATTTATCCAGCGCGCTGACAGTTAACTGTTTCAGCGCATTGTGTTCTTCATGTGTGATCCAATTTGATCATCATTCCCCTCTTCGAAATACGATTTGATAGCCGTATAGTCGTAGTTCCCCCTGATTCGGACTCATCCGTCGCGAAGGCCACTGGAGACTACATTAAATCATTATAGCCAGTGTTAGCAAAATGCGTATCTGCCCAAATGCTCGCCCGCCTGCCCGGTCAACCAATCAGGGACGCTGAAGTCAGTAAGAGCAGAAAACGCAACTGATCTGACAAAAATGGCCTCTGAGGTCTCCCACGCGTCACCCGTACCACCTCTCAGAGGCAACTTCTCAGCACATGCTTGAACCAATCAGAGTGGACCTCGGGTACTGATCCCGATCGACGTATGAAATCCAGAGAGGAGATGCTCTTCACAGACGTTTCATCTCCTGTGTTCACTTTTTTGAGTTCTTTGCTAATTATTGCCGCTGGCCTGTCAGATGACAGACCACACAAATGCCCAATCAAAAAATTTCAGTGGAACAGGGGCATTCGCGTTCGGGTCCGCCAAACGCAACCTCAAAAACGGGCATCCTTTCGACTCAAACAGTTCGCAAATACTTGAGTTAGTCGAAATCAAGGCGATGCCAGAGGCAAGTCCATAAGTCCCATTCTAAAACATGCTCCGTCAAAAGACTTCTACATTTATCTTCACACTAGGAAGATATACCTGGACGAAGTGGCGTGTTTCGTAAATGAGTTCAAGGAACCGTCTTGTATGTAATAAACTCCTTTTAGGAGACCTAATTCGCTCGGCGCGTACACACTAACATTAACCGCAAAAAAGCGGTGCTAGAAATAATGCAAGCCCGACGGTACAATAATTCAGTCGTTTATAGAGTAAAATTACTTAAGACGGGTTGTATAACTGTCTCAGTCACTGAGCCCGAGTTCACCTCCGGTGGTCTTGCCATCGAAGTCTGGCGTGTGAGGGAAGAGAGGGTGTGATAGATGTTGTTCAAGTCGGCATCATGATAAACGAATTCACGTATAAGTCAGCACTACGCCTAGTTATGTATTACGTGAGTGTACATTTCCTCCGGCACGATCAACACCGATAACTGAAACGGATCTTAGGATAGGTCAGCATTCAATAATCGCGAATTGTTGCCAAAAAGAGATAAGGGAGACTCGGATGATGATTTTTGGCATACAGTCTGTTTTTAGCCAGCTAATACCTTCACAACAAGCTGAAGAAACTTGGCATTTGGACTCAGGCTAGTGTGCGACTCTCTGCAGACGCTCTAGCTCAGGCCCCGAGTAAGACGGAATCGCATGGATTTCGTCCCTCTTTGTAACGCTATCCAGACGACCGATCAGCTGACACAAAGTTGATGTCAGCGCCCACAATACGCGCATTCCCGGAGAATTAACCAAATGCACCAACAGAAAGGGCCTATCAAAATGCGACTGACCATCAAAATTTAACTCCGATGCTGCCAAGATGGCTGACTGGGCGCCCTCTGACCAGCCCACGCAGAAGAAGGGCAAATGATCCAGCTGGTGCATCAAATTCACGCCAATTCTGGCATCCTGCAGCAGGATCTCGGGATCACTCCAGTCGCGGACGGGAGGAATGCTGAAACCGCAGCCTGGCGGATCAAAGGCTATCGCGGTAAATCTAAAAGGAGGGAGGGTGGACGGACATGCGTTGTCAGCCAGTAGACTGGGGGAGGGAGGCAGCTCTCTGGCATTTCTGCCGTGCATAGTTTAGCTCGCAACTACTTTGCGCACACAACTTGCACACCCTAAAGACAGGGTTAGATGCCGTGTGCCAGCTGAGATGCCGTCTACTGTGGTCAAACTGGGAAATCTGTCTCAACCCGTATACACGAGCATTAGTTGGCGGTGAGGAGACGGGACCATGTATTCCAGATAACGATACACACACTAGAAACTAGACACAAATTTACATCGAAGGACAATCACATTGTTAGTGTTTGTCCAATAAGGAAAGCCCATGGATTCCAGGAGGCAATGCACTCTGATGTGGCATACATCAGTCGGCATATCGCTTTAGCTGTCACGTAAAAATTTCTCAAGGGCAAATGAAAAGGGACGCATCCAATGCCAAGGGGATGACGAAACGCAATAGACGCGCATTGGCCAAGGTTTCGACCAGCAGCAGAACCACTTGTTTGACACGGCTAAATAGTTAACTGTTTTTTTACACTACCCATAAGTCTGACGACGAGCTGGAGAACCAGCCTCGAACATTAACACAGCAAAGGTCGTTTTGTTTCCAAACAATCTCACCTATTTCGAATATGCTCACACACATATGTATATAGGTTTATATCTGAGGGGAGAGAATCACGTCTTCTTTATATTTTATACTTAAGGAAGGAGTATAATTAGGGTTTAAAAAAGTTTCCCAATTGCCGAAAAATTTTGAGCCTTATCATTCGTTGCATTAGCGCTTAGTGATTACACTCTACAAGGTTCATGCCTTCCGCGTAAAGAAAATCCCATATTTTTCTATGTCATTAAAGAGATATCATACAGGGTCCATAAAATTTTGCCATGGATGCGGACCATGTTGTACATTTCATGAGGAGCAGTGGTAAACGGCCAGGTACGATGCTATGTGAATGGACATATCGCGGTCTCAAAAAGTCTCATAGTAAGAAACTTTTTTAAAACCTAATTATACTCCTTCCTTAAGTATAAAATATAAAGAAGACGTAATTCTCTATTGATTGACTAAAAGAAAGCATATTTTTGTTTGTGGTTTCTATAAAATATATTTGAATTCCCAAGACCATCGAAAATCAATGGGAAAAATGCATGCTACTTAAGTAGTCATTTTTTACCAAGCACACTTTCTACAGGAGATTTAAAAGAAGCGCACTTTAAAGCCGACATCCTGCTGAGTCTAAAATGTTATAAGAGTATGCCTTAAGATAATCAGTGTCACGACCGCGACCAAGTAATCCTTCCTAATCGAAAACGTATTTCAGAATTTCAGCCAACATTTCATGAGATAGGTCACGCACTGTATATTGGCGGCGTCTCTGAGGCAGTTTTCTGCTCCCTAAGATCCTTGGGGATCGAAATCGCCCATCGACCGGTCTCAACCATTCGATATTTAGCCATGAGACCAAAGGCCTCCCTGCCACGAGATGAGACGACCAACGTAATCTACCGAGTCTGGTGTAATTCTTGCGTAGCCACTTACATCGGAGACACCGACAAACGATTACAGACCCGTGTTAACAAACACACAGAGAGCAAGTGAGGAGGTTGGTCCCATTGTCTCTGGTGGCGTAACACTGCACACACACTCTGTGCATCCGTTGGCCTTCCAGAACGCCGAAATTCTTGGTAGAGGAATTGGCCGCATAGCCAGGGAAACAATCGAGGCCTGGCACCATAAACCATTGTGTCGCCCTTCTGGCAGCCTACAAGCCCTCCGAACGCAGCTCAGCGAATGAATGAGCAAGCGAGAAGTTAGGTTGAACGTGAATCCAAACACGAGGGAACCCACGACGGACACACATGTAGCCACATCGTAATTAGGACCAGATGAAGGCGCAGTCATTAATATTGCCGCTTCAGCCACTACTCCGGCAGACGGGGAGACATGCGGTCAAAGGGATGCAAACAAAACTGGTGACCCAGGAAGGCAACTGAGGTCAACGCAAATGAGGGTGACGACCGCCAATATTAAAACCCCGCCACCCCCCCCCCCCCGAACGAGAGACTGGCAGATAGACAGCAGTCACCCTTCCTTCCCCTCTGGCCCCGGCGACAGCAGAGAGGATCCCTGCGCAATATTTAAACACCTCAACGACGAGAGACAGACTGACAGGCAGCAGTCACTCTCCCTCTCCCCGACTACTACAGAGACGATCCCTGTGCGTATGTGGGCTATGAGCGCCAAAGCCGATTAATGACTCTCCTAGTGTACACTGTTAAGACAAACCCGTAAAATCACCGTCGTGTCAACATGGTTGTCACCTCAGTGATAGTGAAAATGCGATTCCCAGGTGGCATACCAAGGGAAGAAGAGGCGTTCACCGGGAGTGGTTTATGGGATGTCCGACAAACAACGCTGCACTCAGCAGAACAATTCCTTGACAAAATAAGGGCAGCCACGATCGAACCGAATGAGAGGATGGTGTCTTTTGACGTCTTCTCACTCTTCACGTCCATGCCAAAGGCCCTTGCGGTCGAAACGCTCAGCGACCTGCTACGTCAAAATTACGTTGGGGGCGATGACTAGCCCACACCTCAGGATGTTATAGAACTCATGGGGCACTGCCTCAAGACATTCTTTACCTTCGAAGGGATCACATACGAGCAAATCAAGGGCACTCCAATGGGTTCACCAATCTCCGGGCTCATTGCCGAGGCGGTTCTACAAAACTCGGGAGACGACTATTCGAGGAGTACAAACCCAAGTTTTGGGCACGTTACTTTGATGACACCTTTGTACTCATAGACCGGGATAAAATCAGCTACTATTCGAAACTACTGAACTCAATCATTCCCGATCTACAGTTAACGATGGAAGAGGAAGTAGGGGACAAACTTCCATTCTTGGATGTTCTCGTCTGCCGCCAACCAAACGGAAAACCAGTGACATCGGTCTACAGAAAACCGACGAACACGCTGCAAAGGCTCAGTTACAACAGCAACCACCCGCTACAACACAAACGAAGCTGTATCCGCACGCTATACCGACGGCCGGAAACTCATTGCAGCACGCCAGCCGCCAAACTGGACGAGATAAAGCCCCTCCAAGAACTCTTCAGAGCCAACGGCTATCCGCGGGCCTTCATTGAACGGAGTCGAAGGCAGCCAAAGAAACGGAATGAAGAGCATAATCAGTCAAACTCGTGGCGGGGCATTCCGTACGTTAAAGGGGTCTCCGAAACCGTGGCTAGATCCCTCATGCCACTCGGAATAGGTGTTGCCCACAGGCCTGACTCAACAATCTGCCGGCAAGTGATGTGGCCAAAAGATCAGATCCCTAAGCAGGAGATGTCGGCCGTTGTCTATCGACTTCAATGCAGCTGCGGAAGGCGCAACTACGTTGGGGAAACCGGCCGACGGCTGTAAACGCGAATGCACGAGCATAAGTTGGCCGTGAGAAGGTTGGACTTAAAGTTGGAGGTAGCAACCCATGCCGCTCAAATGGACACATCTTCAACTTGGACGCTGTTAAGATTGTGGACCAGGGCGGTGGTCATGCGGCAAGGTGGGTGCATGAAGCCTGGATGTCCACCGACTGCTCTGTCAACCGCCACATAAATTGGCCTCCCCCTATCTGACTACGAACCTTAACGGGGGACAGTCGCCGCGCGGGACAATCGGGGCCGTCAGTCATCTCCGCGGCCGACGGGGGAGATTCAGGTAACGGTGACACGCGGGTTGGATGCAGCCACACAGGCGGCATTGGTGGGTCACGCAGTGAACAAAGTGCGCCATGTAAGGGGGAGCTGTGCACAGGACTTTCCAGTCTCTGAAGATAGTTAGACGAATCAACTACTCGAAACGTCGGACCTCCAATAAACCACTCAAGGTGTACGCCTCTTCTTCCTTTGATGGTTGTCACCCTTTTATAAATAGTATGTGGCACGGTATGATCTTCAACTCCGACTACGGAAGCTGGTCTGCTTTTGAAACGTCAGAACAATACAACTATGGTTCCCCAGATCGTCTCTTCTTCTCGTATTTATAAATATATATGAACTGCAAAACGGGCATCCCAAAAATTCATTAGGAAGATAAAATTCTTTGGGAAACTGAAACATTTACTGTGTAAATTTTTGAGGCTGGTCCCTCAGCTCGGCTTCAGATTATGGGTGTACAAAAACAAGTAACTCCTTGACTGAGTCTAAGAAGGATTCTGCGACTGATCGCTGTCCGTGCCAATATATGTTAATCGCATTTCGTCGCCTCTTCGAGACTGGTTGCGTCAGTTTGCATCTTTCCTTACAGATATTGCATACAGCATCTAGATCGGTATGCCGATTGATGCATGCCTCATCTGACGGCATTGCTTTCAGGGATTCACGGCCCTTCCTTATTGGGCAGGCGCTGGCAATACGAGTGTTCTCCCACGCAAATTTGTGCCCAGTGTCCAGTGTGTACATGGCCCCCTGGGATAGATGGTCGCGTCTCCTCACCGCTAACTGATGCTCGTGTATACGGGTTGAGATAGATTTCCCAGTTTGGCCAAGACAGACGGTATCGCAAATAGCACATGGGATTTTATAGATAACGCCCTTTCCTTCGAGGTACCCAGCCCTGTCCTTATGGTGTACGTGCTGTGTGCGCAAGGTAGTTGCCTGTTGGTGTTTTTTGGGGCTTTTCAACTAGTTCAAATACATTTTTCACGTATGAGAGAGCACGGCAGAGCGCCCATATAAAAACGGATATTTTGCTGAAACTTTTGATGTTCTGCTCGTTCTATTTCTGAATAAGGTATTTACAGCAGCTAAACTACACGACAAGTGGTGTTTCATATGTTCAAGACTGGAAATGACCATTCGGTGGTGATCATTTATGTGACATCGGGTAAAATTTTCCAAACGGCAAAAAAAGTTCAACCCATTTAATCGAAGGAATCCCTATCTGCATTATTACTGTACTTTAGGGCACCAAATCGCACAGATATGCTAATTTGACTTTTAGGAACTGATAAAACCTCTAGTTGTCTTAAAATAACCCTTGTCTCAGCAGATTGATCAACATGGTTAACATCGGACATAAAATAAATTTTAAAGTTCGGTTAGATCTGTTTATTAAAACTCGCGGGTAAATTACTATCATTCCATTGAAGAAGTCGCTGAGATGCGTAATCAAAGTCTAGGACATGTATAGGCATAGGAAATTGCACGAATATATTCCAACGTCAATTTTCGCTAAAATTTACTTATAATTTACTTGATATAATTACGTAAACACAATTTCTGCACAAGAAAAGGACATTTGATTGAAGGAAGTGGATGAGCGAACAAAATGCGCAACGTTAAAGACGTCCAGAAATTCTCGCATCAGTTTCCGTTATAAGATTTCATGAGACAGGTCACGTACTGTGTATTCGGAAAGAGAAGGCTCTTCGGGAAATCAAGCTTTTCTCATGAATTTTCAGCTTGGTGACACCAACCCCGTCGTGAGACGAAATGAACAAAGAAGAAATTGAGATTGTCAGAATAGATCGACTGACGCGACAGGGCAGGCAACGACAGACATATAACTGACATACCGCTACCACTCTTGGGCACAGACAACCATTGTTACAAGCACTAAATCATTATGGGTTTTACAGGCACATTTAGAAAGTCAGTTGTGTTGCACATTTACTGAGTATGGTGTTAACCTGGGGACCTAGCGTCGAAGACGTGGACATTCAGGCTTACTGTTTTGTCCAAAGTACTTAAACTTATATTGCTCGTTATGCTATCTCTCTTTACTGAAAGATAGGCATCCCTAGAAATATGAGTTGAAGTTAAATAAGTTAACCGAAAAGGTAGCAAAATTTTGTGGCGCAAACTTTCGACGCTAGTTCCCCAGGCACTCCTCGGACGCGTATCAGGTGTGCAAAACAGATAACTTTTCAAACATGCATGAAAATCAATACATTCTCAAGTTGTGAACCAATGATCAGTCTCTGCATGCTATCATCCTCTTTGGATTGGCTGCCGTCTCTTGCCCTTCCCCTGAGACTTTTATACGCGGTAGTCAAATCGATATACGTCTGATTCGTGAGTCACCCGAGTGCATGGCCCCGAGTAACGCTCTGCCTATCTTTTATCGGCAGGCTCCAAAACTCTGAACACCCTCCAAAGCAAAGTTTTGTTCGGCATCCAGGGTACACATGTTATAGATAGTCTCCTTTTCTACCGCTTAAGTTAGACCCATGAATGCGTGTAGAGGCAGATTTGTCAATCTCACCGCAATAGTCTGCACTACAAACACTGCATGGAATGCTTTATTCGACTTCACGCCTATCCAACTAGTCCTTCTAATTCTCAGAGTGTTCAAACTGGATACTTAACGCAGCTATCAGTCTCGGTGGCACCTTTATATGGTACTTCTGTACACCTACATCAATATGTACGAGCAGACAAGACCGAACCCTACAGAACGTACTCATTCCTGTTAAGACGGCGTAGAAAGTCCATGTAGTCAGTGCTGGCGGAACCGAATGGGCCGGGAAAAAGGAGAATATTCTTGGCTCCTACGCCCTGGCGCAGAAAGTGAATCCTGACGGAGAAGACCTCCTCGTAGGCCCCAAACAGCTGATCTATGGGGTGATCCCTAAGACCATTGGGATAGGATGGAGGACGTGAATTATCACTGAAACTGCTGACGAAACGCCGCTGTAGTCGAGCGTAGCCAAGCAGTCCGCGGTGTCCGCAGATTCGACTGAGTTTCAACATGCACATTCTACAATGATTCTAACAGGAATGTTTAAAGTTAGTTTTTTTCTGAAATTTCAAACGGTCGAGAAAAAGGTCTCTGCATTATGCGATACAGCGTAAGCGCCATTTGTTCAGGAAGATGAGGCGCATCAACCGAAATCTCTTAGGGGTGTTTCGTGCTGTCAATGCTCTGTCAGTCGTTTTGACTGGGCACCGTTTGTTATTTCACTTGCATTGATTACTAACCTGGCCTAAGATGGGGACATTGCGCTGCAGGTCATTCGGTTGTTGAGGCAAGTTTGTGTCAGTGGTCGCTAACGTGTTCGCCGGTAAAATCGTAGTTCGTAACCAGACATTATGAGTTGATGATCTCGACGTACCTACTTGTAATCAGTAGGTGTGTTTCTACTGAGTTAGGCAGGTCGCCCGTTTTCGTCAGGTTGCTGGGTTTAGTGAGGGTTAGGGTTAGGTTTAGGATTAAGTTTTAGGGTTAGGGTTTTAGGCTTAGGCTTTAGGGTTGAGGTTAGGGTTTAGGGTTAAGGTTAGGGTTAGGATTTTTGGACTAAGTTTAGGGTTAGGTTTTAGGGTTAAGGTTAGGGTTTGATTTGAGGGGTAGGGTTAGAGTTTAGGGCTAAAGTTAGGTTTTAGTGTTAGGGTTATGTTTTAGGGTTAGGACTAGTGTTTTCGTGTTGGGTTTTACGGCAAAGGCTTATGCTAGGTTTTAGGGTTAGATTTGGGGTTTTGCGTTTAATTTTTTGGTCAGTGTTTTACGGTTAGTGTTAGGGTTTTAGTTTTAGGTTAGCTTCCGCATTCTGGCTATGAACTGCGATTTGACTTATCCGCCTCCTCATACTGCCCTCGGTCAGTCAAAAACCTCATGCCAATTAAATGCCTGCAATGCGCGTGACTTGGGCCTGCATTGAAGACAGGTTCTCGCCAATCGATCTTGTGTCATTTGCTGGTCGATTGCAGACGGACAAAGGTTATACGCGCGCGGGTGTGCGCATCCTGGCGCCGGGGCTATCGACCTCAACGGTTGACACTTGGTTTGTTGAAGCCTTTGCTGCAGGTCATTCGATTGTCGAGGCAAGCTTGTGTCCGCGGTCGCTAGCATGCCCGCCCATTCATACTGCCTTCGGTCAGTCTTAAACCTCATGCCAATTACAGTAGGTGGGCTAACTAATGAAATGTCAACCGAAATTCCGAAATGAGTTTTCGTTTCGAAAAGATTAATTAAGAAGGGTTGTGAAATTAGTCGGCCTGCAAGATAATTCTATAAAATTTCAGGATGCCGGCTTTCGAATTAACTTCCTTCCGACAGCATGCAGAAACTACACTCTGTAAAAAATGACTAATTAAGTAGTATGCATTTTTCTCATTGATTGTCGATGTTCCAAAAAGTCCAATTATATTTCATGGAAAACATGCATAAAAATATGCATTCTTTTGCTCATTCGGTATACAATTACGTCTTCTTCCAATCTTATACTCAGAGGAAGGGTAATATTCGGTTTTTAAGAACTTTTCCAATTCCCGAATAATTATGAACCCGCTCTGCCGTCACACATGCATTCAGGGTTTCCAAACTATAAGCCATGTATTTTCCGCATGCGGAAAACCACACATTTCTCTACGGTACTAAAGGAGGACCATATATGATTCATAAACTTCAACGTTGGATTTGACCCATATTGTTAACTTTGCAAGCCACATTGGTAAACGCAGAGACATGCCGTTTTATGAACGGCCATTTCATGGTATTTAAATGTCTCCCAATTACAAATTTTTTTAAAACCGAATTATGTCCCTCCTTTGAGTATAAAATTGGAAGAAGGCGTAATTTTCTATTGAAAGAGCGGAAGAATGAATATTTTTATTCATGTTTTCCATGAAATATAATTGGACTTTTAGGGGCATCGAAAATCAAGGACAAAATGCATGCTACTTAAGTAGTCATTTTTTACAGAGTCTAGTTTTTGTATGCAGCCGGAAGGAAGTTCATTCGAAAGCCACTATCCTGAAGTAACTGAAATATTATAGAATTATGCTGTAGGTTACCTAGCTTTACAACCCTACTTAATTAATCTTTTCGAAGCGAAAACACATGTTGGAATTTCGGTTGACAGTTCATGAGTTAGTCCACCTACTTTCCATCAACTGGACAAGGGTATGGTTTACGCCGGCATCACTTACTGCGGGGAGCTTTTGTGTTGAGGAAAAGAGCAGAACATCCAAGATCTTTGTGGTATCACAAATTCTGATCCTGCATACTGCCATCAATCAAAAGGGGACACTATTTTTACCATTTAGTGATAATAATAAATAAATTTAGTTCCCATTTGGAGCCATTGTCAAAAAGGCGTTGCATTGACGTACTCTTACTTCGATGAACATTTAAAAGCTTCGAGTCATGGTTCTCAGACCCGCAATCCATCAACAAGAGCAATGACCTCCCATTACCATATTCCGTGCTGAGATTTTCCCTTGAAAGTGGAATCAGTCGCGTGGGGAGGGCGCGGGCGAGCAATAATCGCAGTGACAGTGAGCCAATTTGCCGAGCAATCGTCATATCAGCATTCAGCGCGGATGATGAAATCACAGCCAGTTATGACTCGGACGCGAACTGACAAGCCGCCATCGCATCAATTACGACCCCATCGGTGATTGCAAGAGCGGTTAATTACAGTGCGCATATGATCCCACGGTAGACACGTGTCATAGATACTGCACTCCTTGTGCCACCATTACCCTTATCTGCGACTGCCTCTGATGATGGATTCGAGTGAGAATCCGAAACGGCAGGCCAATAAAATTCCTTTTTCCAGTGATCATTTCTTTGTCTTCTGGACTGCTACCTGGAACTCGCTTGTTCGCTTCTATCAGCTCCTTGACCAACCAAACGAAGCAGCAACCGAGAGGTTTTTTCATTCCTTTCCCTGACACCTACAAATACATATCGCCGGTCATTTACTTTTAGCACAATTGCTCCCCGAAGTGAGTGACGCCCGGGCGTAAACTATACCCTTACCCAGATTGCCACACAATCTTACAATAGAAGCTGACACCACTGTCTCAGGCACTCTGGGGCATGACTGGACGCAGTCTGTACCGGCGGTGGCAACGTCAGCAGCCACTGTCGCCTGAGTGGAAAACTCAGGGTTCTGTATACTACAATTAATCCCCCATTCTGGTGACTTCTGTCTTATCCCACAAAACGGGCTCTGACCTGACGATTGTAGCGTTCTGAGTACACATTTTCACCGCCATGTCACTGCAACCTCAACGGGTGGAACTTGGTTTGTTGAAGTCATTGCTGTCACTGAATTCTTAGCCGCTTGTGCTCTATTCTTGCCTTCAACGCCCTGGTGCAAACGGTGGATTCTGAGGGAAGGGTGCTCCACGTAGGTACCGCACATTTGATCTGTGTGATGATCTCTAAGGCCAATCGGAGAGGATGAAGGAGATACGTCGTTGCTGTTGACCTTGAGAGAGGTCCTCCTCTGTCTGTGGGTTAACATGCAGGTTCGTCACCCTATGCGGACAGACGCGCACGTAGGTACACGTTTGACTGCGTGTCGAAGGGTCCTTGACCATCATCGAATTTCTGCACTAAATACACGACTTTTTCTGGCGTCTTTACCCTTCTTCTCCGAGACGGCATTGAGCCATGATTATTGTGGCACTCGGAGTACACTCACCAAGTGCACTCTACAGCCCCTCTAGGGAACGATGACATACCGGGAAGCCATGCTTTAGATAATTTGATTGGCTGAGGTCTTTCGAAGGAGCCCTAGAGGGTCTTTTCGCCAAGAAAACAACATGATGTAGTGCTTGTCGATTTTTGTTGTGAGGGCGACTAGTGAATACCATCCCGGTCTATTCTATACAATAGTTGGCCAAACGAAATGTCTAGATGTCTTTACAATTCCCTTCGTTTTCGAGCGACAAATATTTCAATTAACGTCCCCAAACTGTCACCCAGGTGTTCAGTACATCGTTAGAGGCCACCGAGCCTCGGGATTGCAGGTCTTACCTGGACTTCAACCGGAAGTGCTCGACTTAAGGATCTTCTTGCCGCACTACGGGTCCATCCACCCGTAAGACACGAGAAGGGGAGCCCCGCACCTAAATACAGATGACCTCGCGCTAAATTGCAGGTTTAAGGTAGGGGTGAAGTGCAATGTTCGGGTTAAGGTTTTGATTAGTGTTAGGATTAGGGCACGGGAATGGGAGCCCTACGCAGATCACAGTTGGGTGGTAGCGAAAACTGCTACTAATAGTACGTAGCTGCGTATAGTAGATTTGTTAAATCATGAAATGTCAACCGAAATTCCGAAATGAGTTTTCGTTTCAAAAAAGATTACTCAACTAGATTTCTTTTATTAATCATCATGCAGCATAATCCTATAGCAATTCAGTTACTTCGGGACGCCGGCTTTTGAACGAACTTCTTTTTGGTCGTCTGCAAAACTTACACTGTAAGAGTGGCTACTTAATTAGCATGAATTTTCCTCACAGATTTTCCGTGCCCTTCTGAATTCAAATATATTCCATAGAAAAAATGCATAAAATATTTATTCTTTTACCTCTTTGGAAGTCAATTACGTCCTCTTGCAATTTTATACTCGAAGGAGGGGTATAATTTGGTTTTAAAAAACTTCCAACTCTCGAATAATTTTGGACCCGACCTGCGTTACACTTGCCTTCGGGGTTCCCAAACTACAAGCTGCATATTTTCCGCGAAGGCAAAAACATGCATTCCTATATGATATTAGTAGGATAACATATGAAGTGAATTAAATTTCGCAGTGGATTTGAACCATATTGTATTGCTTTAGAAGCAGCATTAGTAGATGCACAGACACGATGCTTTATAATCGGACATTTCACGGTCTTGAAAATCCCATAATTAGAAACTCTTAAAAACCGGATTGTACCCGCCTTTCAAGTATAAAATTTGAAGACGTAATTTTCTGCCATATGAGTAAACGATTGAATATTTTTTATTCACTTTAATTTATAAG